CCATACACTCCTTGGATGGAGAAACAGAAGGGCTAATGAATGTGCCCATGCTTCTAAGCCCCTAAAGGAAGGAGGCGAGATATGAACCTAGGGATATAGCTCTAAAGCTGAATTGATAATGAATTGTTGAACCCTGAGGAGGATGGCTCTCATCCCTACCATCATGGGTAGCCATAGGTTGGTTCCCTCACACATGCTAGTCCTAGATTTACATGAGTCTATGGAGATCCCAAACATTGTCTATGATTCCAAGATGGCTGCAGCAGTCACGTGGCTTAGGGCAGACAACAGTGAATGTAACTGCAGGGTATGGCACAGCCATCGCTGTGAATAATACAGAGCTGCCCCAGATGCCTCTGACAACAGGGTCAAATGCAAGTTCTGAATATTAGGAAGCAGTACTTAGAAATATTGAGAAACTCCTTTCAGTGCTGGGGACATTCCTCAGCAGTTGGCCCCAAACAAATAAGATGAATGAGATATTTTTGAGATAGTTGAAAACTCATCACCACAAAACCAAGAAATGATCAAATCCTGCAAGCTACATTCATTCGACATGATGACAATTAAGACAGCAAAAAAGCATTGGCTTACTAGTTCATCACACTCACTGCAGCTCCACACTGCAGAGTTAAAACACATCAGCATCCTGCCCGTGTCTCCCTTCCTGAAATAAACTATGCTCAATGGACTGGTGAGTACAAAGATAGGATCGTCCATAGGCAGTTACTACACACGCATGACAAAGCAAAGGTGGACTGAAGAAGGAACTCTCACGTGATTAACACTGGTTGTTTTATAGAATGTAATTTCGGTATTTCCGATTCTTCCATCATCGACTGTAACAAAAGTTTAGTACATAGCTACAATAGACTGTTTTGCCTAGAATTGAATCCGTCTGTCTGTCCAACTTAGCTTTTATTCAAGGATTGAAAATTCTAAAAAATAGAACTGCAGTGACAGCCATTTATGTGACAGCCATTTCCCTTTATGTGAATCCATAAATGGAAAAATATTCTTGGGGTGTAAATCATATAAAAAATATTGTTATTTCTGTTTGACACAATAAATCCCTAGTGTCTTCTTCTAAAAAATAAACCTCACCATGATTACACATTGCAAACCAAAAAGTTATCTAAAACTGGTCTCAATCAATTTAGAAGTTTAATTTGCCAAGGTTAAGGACATGCTGGTGACACAGACCCAGAAGGTCCTGAGTACATATGTCCAAGGTGATCGGGCTACCGTTTGGTTTTTACATGTTTTAGGGAGACCTAAGACATCAATT